CTTTGGCCTACAGGCGAGGCAGCCCTCAGGGAAACTCCAGCCATCTTGTGGGACTGGGGCTTCATCCTCGCCCCAGAGGGCAGGTGTGTCCCTGAAAGTCTGACCTGTACACTTGGTTGTCTGGAAAAAACAGGTCACCTGTGACACTTGTAAGGGATGCCATGGTCCCCCACGGGATCCTCTTACTTGACGGACCATGGGACACGTTTCCAAGTGTGGGAGGGCACTCCAGTTGATGTCAGAATCACTGATGCCTTAGTAGGCACACAACATGCTGCGGTGGGCATTGCAGATGAACAGTGTGACCACCTGCATGGAAGTGGTGTTCCCAAATTTCACAAATGGGATTTGGAGGCAGGGGCCTGGCGGGGGTTACCTGGATGGAGACTAGACAGCTTTGGCACAACGGGTAGACGGTATCTGAAAAATGTTGGCAACATGGCCCAGACCCCGAGTTGTATACAGGCGCCTGCCACCAGGTTCTTCACCATTGGCACCGTCTGGTTCTCGCGTGTCCTCATGGGCCCCCGGGGTCGTCCCACAGCTGTATGGAGTTTTGTCTGACAATGGCCCTTTGGTTGGTGCCACGAGCCAGGGCAGGCCTGGGTTCTTGACTTGTAACCCTGAGACCTAGTGAATTTGAAAGCACTGGGGAACCGTGCTGGCCCCTCACCATTCCCTCACCGTAATCTCAAAGATGGTAAGGGATTAGGTGTCCCCACCAGAACCATGGTGCTGTGCTGATGGAGACAGTGCTGGATACTGGTGGGATGCCCGTCAGGGCCCTGTTCCCCCAAGGGACCTTGGCATTGCGTCTGCGTGGTAGCACTCATGGGCCCTTCTGGGGCCCTATGCCTGCCCATTCCTGCCAAAACACAGGGCCGGTCCCTGCCAGCCAAGGCCCAGGATTCTGCCTGCCACTGACCCGCAAATGTCTGTCCCTGTAACACTGCAGGAAGACCTGTGCATGTGGCCTGGTCCTGCTGTGGCAGCCTCCATGCCTGAGCATTCCTGGGGGGCTTGAGTTCCCTTGTTTCCAGTGGAGCCACAGAGGCTGAGGGCCTTGTGGAACAGCTGCAGTCTTCCTTCCAACCAGGCCAGGATTGCAGGATTGTGTCATGAATTCAGTCCCAGCCCTGCGAATTCTGAGATCCCTCCCATTGCCACAAGGTGACGTCTGATGGGAAGGCGTTTTGTCACTGCTGAGCTGCCTCTCTGTGTGCAAATCCCATGCAGCGACCGAGATCCCACCTGGAGCACGGATGGGAATTTGGCCCATCTTTGGGAGCAGGCCCTGAGCCAGGGGCCCCCATGGCCACCCTGTGCATAACAAACCCTCACTGGTAAGCATGTTGAGCTGGAAGGTAGAAGGCAGAGGCAGGTGGGGACTGCCTTGGTTGGGTCAATGATGAGAACTCATATGGTCTCAAAGACAGATGATGACCTAAAAATTATGCTCAATAGGATTACACTGAGGCCCAGTGGAGGGCAACGCACAGAGGCGGGATCCTGAGGACCTCTGTGGCCCTAGCATAGAGCTGGATCCTGGTGTTCGAGGCAACTGATCCCTCGAGGTTCCCTATTGGGGCTTTCCCTGGTCTGGGCCTCCGAACGCGTAAGACATGCTCCCACCCTGGGCCATTGTGTGCCCATTACTAGTGCTTCCCAGGATTCATCCCTGGGAAAACAACTAAGCTCCTTCAGTGTCCTGGTGTCTTTCAGTGGGATGTCATCTTGATGACCAGGGTCTCACCATTGAGCCCACCATGGGAGGAGAATGGATGCCTGTGTGAGTATCCAAAGATCCAGTGCCCTTGGGCCGATTGGCGAGAGTGTCCTCAGGGCAACGCCAGCCATCTTTTGGGACTGGGGCTTCTCCTCACACCAGAGGGCTGGTGTGTCCCTGAACGTCTCCCCTGTGCACTAGGCTGTCTGCAAAAATAGATCACCCGTGACACCTGTAAGGGATGCCACGGTCCCCCATGGGATCCTCTTACTTGATGGATCATGGGCCACATTTCCATTATGGGAGGGCACTCCGTTTGATGTCAGAATCACTGATGCCTTATTAGGCACACAACATGTTGTGGTGGGCATTGCAGATGGCCAATGTGACCTCCTGCGTGGAAGCAGTGTGCTGAAATTTCACACAATGGGCTTTAGAGGCAGGGGCCAGTCCCGGGGTAACCTGGGTGGACACTAGACAGCTTTGGCATAACGGGTAGATGGTATCTGAAAGATGCTTGCAGTGTGGTCCAGACCCCGAGTGGCATCTGGGCTCCTGCCTCCGGGTTCTTCACCATTGTCACTGTCTGGTGGTCATGTGTCCTTATGGGGCTGGTGGGTCATCCACAGATCGATGGGGTTTTGTCTGACTATGGTCGTTTGGTCAGTGCCACGAGCCAGGGCATGCTTTGGTTCTTCACTTGTGACCCCACGTCCGAGTGAGTTTGAAGGCACTGGGGAAGCATCCTGGCCCCTCACCCTTCCCTCACGGAAATCTCAAAGACGGGAAGGGATGAGGTGTCCTCACGGGAGCCATGGAGCAGTGCTGATGGAGACAGTGTTGGATGCTGGTGGGATGCCATCAGGGCCCTCATCCCCCAAGAGATCTTGGCATTGCATCTGTGTGGTAGCGTTCATGGGACCTTCCAGGGCCCAATGTCTGCCCATTGCAGACCTGTTCCTGCCAACCTGGCAAAATGCAGGACCTGTCCCTGCCAACCAATGCCTGGGATTCTGCCTGCCACCAACCCCCCAAGGTCTGTCCCAGTCATGCTGCAGGAAGACCTGTGCTTGTGTCCTGGTGCCTGCTGTGGCAGCCTCCATGCTCAGAGACCTGTTGGGCTTGAATTCCCTTGTTTCCAGTGGATCCACAGAGGCTGAGGGCCATGTGGACACGCTGCAGCCTCCCTTCCCACAGGCCAGGATTGCGGGATTAAGTCATGATGCAGTCCCAGCCCCACGCATTCTGAGATCCCTCCCATTGCCACAAGGTGATGTCTGATGGGGAAGGTGTTTTGTCATTGCTGAGCTGCCTCTGTCTGTGCAGATCCCGTGCTCTGACCAAGAACCCACCTGGGTCACAGAGGGGAGTTTGGCCCATCTTCAGGAACAAACCTCATGCCAGTGGCCCCCATGGCCATGCTGCATATCACAAAACCTCTCTGGTAAGCATGTTGAGCTGGAGGGTAGAAGGCAGAGGCGGGAGGGGACTGCCTTGGATGGATCAATGATGAGACCTCATATGGTCTCGAAGACAGATGATGACCTAAAAATTATGCTCAATAGGTTTATGCTGAGGCCCAGTGGAGGGCACAGCACTGAGGCAGGATCCTGGGGACTCCTGTGGCCCTGGCGTAGCGCTGGCACCTGGGCTCAAGGCGACCGATCCCTGTAGTTTCCCCAGTGGGGCTTTCCCAGGTCTGGGCCCCCACACGCCAAAGACATGCTCCCACCCTTGGGCATTGTGTGCCCATTACTAATGCTTCCCGGGACTCATCCCTGGGAACCCAGCTAAGCTCCCTCGGTGTCCTGGTGTCTTTCAGGGGGATATCGCCATGGTGACCAGGATCCCACTTGAGCCCACCATCGGACGATAGTGGACGCCTATGTGAGTACCAGGAGATCCAGTGCCCTTGGGTCAATTGGCGAGGGAGTCCTCAGAGCAACGCCAGCCATCTTGTGGGACAGGGGCTTCATCCTCACCCCAGAGGGCTGGCATGTCCCTGAACAACTCCTGTGTGCACTAGGCTGTCTGGAAAAAACAGGTCACCCGTGACACCTGCAAGGGATGGAATGATCCCACGTGAGACCCTCTTATTTGATGGCCATGGGCCACGTTTCCCAGTGTGGGAGGGTGCTCCAGTTGATGTCAGAATCACTGATGCATTAGTAGGCAAGTAACTTGTTGTGGTGGGCATTGTAGTTGGCCAATGTGACTTCCTGCATGGAAGCAGTGTACACAAATTTCATGCAATGGGCTTTGGAGGTAGGGGCCAGACCAGGAATTACCTGGAAGGACACTAGACAGCTTTGGCTTAATGGGTAGAAGGTATCTGAAAGATGCTGGTAGTGTGACCCTGACACAGAGTGGCATGCAGGGTCCTGCCCCCAGGTTCTTCACCATTGGCACCGTCTGGTGGTTGCATGTCCTTATGGGGTCCGTGGGTCGTCTTGCAACTGGATGGGGTTTTGTCTGACAATGGCCCTTGGTCGGTGCCATGAGCCAGGGCATGCTTGGGTTCTTGACTTGCGACCCCGAGTCCCAGTGAGTTTGAAGGCACTGGGGAACCATTCAGGTTCCTCACCCTTTCCTCACCGTAATCTCAAATACAGGAAGGGATGAGGCGTCCCCATGGGAGCCATGGAGCAGCACTGGTGGAGACAGTGTTGGATGCTGGTGGGATGATTTTCAGGGCCCTGCTCCCCCAAGGGATCTTGTGTTGCGTCTGCATGGTAGCATTCATGGGCTCATCCGACCCCCTGCCGGCCCATTCCTGACAAAACACAGGGCTAGTCCCTGCCAGCCAATGCCCGGGATTCTGCCTGCTACTGCCCTGCCAGCGTCTGTTGCAATAAGGATTTGGGAGGACCTGTGCTTGTGGCCTGGTGCCTGCTGTGACAGCCTCCATGCTCAGATTCCTGTGGGGCTTGAATTCCCTTGTTTCCACTGGAGCCACAGAAGCTGAGGGTCTTGTGGAAACGCTGCAGCCTTCCTTCTGACCAGGCCAGGATTGCAGGATTGCATCGTGAATGCACTCCCAGCACCATGCATTCTGAGATCTATCCCATTGCCACAAGGTGAGGTCTGATGGGAAGGCGTTTTGTCATTGCTGACTTGCCTCTCTCTGTGCAGATCCCGTGCCGTGACCGAGATCCCACCTGGAGCACAGTGGGGAGTTTGGCCCATCTTTGGGAACAGGCCACGACCCAGGGACCCCCATGGCCACTCTGCCCATGACAAAACTTATCTGGTAAGCATGTTGAGCTGGCGTGTAGAAGGCAGAGGCGGGTGGGGACTGCCTTGGTTGGATCAATGATGAGAACTCATATGGTCTTGAAGACAGCTGATGACCTAAAAATTATGCTCAATAGGATTACACTGAGGCCCAGTGGAGGGCACCACACAGAGGCGGGATCCTGGGGACCCCTGTGACCCTGGCATAATGCTGGATCCTGGGGCTCGAGGTGACTGATCCCTTGAGGCTCCCCAGTGGGGCTCTCCCCAGTCTGGGCCTGTAAGCGCTTAAGACATGCTCCCGTCCTGGGGCGTTGTGTGCCCATTACTAGTGCTTCCCGGGATTCATCCCTGGGAAAACAACTAAGCTCCTTCAGTGTCCTGGTGTCTTTTAGTGAGACATTGTCTTGGTGATCAGGGTCTTGCCATTGAGCCCACCATGGGAGGAGAATGGATGCCTGTGTGAGTACCCGAATATCCAGAGCCATTGGGCCGATTGGTGAGAGTGCCCTCAGGGCAACCCCAGCCATCCTGCGGGACTGGGGCTTCGTCCTCACACCAGAGGGCTGTTGTGTCCCTGAACGTCTCCTCTGTACACTAGGCTGTCTGGAAAAAAATAGGTCATCTGCAACACCAGTAAGGGATGCCACAGTCCCCCATGGGATACTCTTACTTGACTGACCATGGGCCACGTTTCCCAGTGTGAGAGGGCACTCTGGTAGATGTCAGAATCACTGATGCCTTACTATGCATGCGACATGCTGCCCACACTGATGCCTTACTAGGCACACGGTGTGCTGCCATGGGCATTGCAGACAGCCAATGTGACCTCCTGCATGTAAGCGGTGAAATTTCACGCAATGGGCTCTAGAGGCAGGGACCAGATCCTGGGTTACCTGAGTGGACAATAGACAGCTGTGGCATAAGGGGTAGACGGTATCTGAAAGATGCTTGCAGAGTGGTCCAGACCCCGAGTGGCATGCAGGCTCCTGCCCCCGGGTTCTTCACCGTTGGCTCCATCTGGTGGTTGTGTGTCCTTATGGGGCCCGTGGGTCGTCCTGCAGATCAATGGGGTTTTGGCTGACTATGGCCCTTTGGTTGGTGCCATGAGCCAGGGCACACTGCGGTTCTTCACTTGTGACCCCACATCTGAGTGAGTTTGAAGGCACTGGGGAACCGTGCTGGCCCCTCACCCTTCCCTCATCATACTCTCAAAGATGGGAAGGGATGGTGTCCCCACTGGAACCATGGAGCAGCACTGGTGGAGACAGTGTTGGATGCTGGTGGGATGCCTGTCAGGACCCTGTTCCCCCAAGGGAATTTGGCATTGCATCTGCATGGTAGCATTCATGGGTCCATCCGAGGACCCTGCCCACCCTTTCCTGGCGAAACACAGGGCCAGTCCCTGCCAGTAAATGTCCAGGATTCTGCCTGCTACTGCCCCACCAACGTCTGTCACAATAAGGATGTGGGAGGACCTGTGCATATGGCCTGGTGCCTGCTGTGGCAGCCTCCATGCTCAGATTCCTGTGAGGCTTGAATTCCCTTGTTTCCAGTGGAACCACAGAGGCTGAGGGCCTTGTGGACACGCTGCAGCCTTCCTTCCTGTCAGGTCAGGATTGCATCATGAATGCACTCCCAGCACTGTGCATTCTGAGATCCTTGCCACTGCCACAAGGCGAGGTCTGATGGGGAAGGCATTTGTCATTGCTGAGCTGCCTCTCTCCTCACAGATCCCGTGCACCCACTGAGATCCCACCTGGCGCACGGAGGGGAGTTTGGCCCATCTTCAGGAACATGCCTCAAAGCTAGGGGCCCCCATGGCCATGCAGCACATCATAAAACAGCCTTGGTAAGCATGTTGAACTAGAGGGTAGAAGGCAGAGGCGGGTGGGGACTGCTTTGGTTGGGTCAATGATGAGAACTCATATGGTCTTGAAGACAGATGATGACCTAAAAATTATGCTCAATAGGATTATGCTGAGGCCCAGTGGAGGTCACCGCACTGAGGTAGGATCCTGGGAACTCCTGTGGCCCCGGAATAGCGCTGGCACCTGTAGCTTGAGTCGCCGATCCCTTGAGGCTCCCCAGTGGGGCTCTCCCCAGTCTGGGCCTCCACATTACTAAGATGTGCTCCCGCCCTGGGGCGTTGTGTGCCTATTATTAGTGCTTCCCAGGACTCATCCCTGGGAACCCAACTAAGCTCCCTCGGTGTCCTGGTGTCTTTCAGTGGGAAGTCGTCTTAGTGACCAGGGTCTCGCCATTGAGGCCACCATGGGAGGAGAGTGGATGCCTGTGTGAGTACCCAGAGACCCAGTGTCCTTGGTCCAATTGGTGAGGCAGCACTCAGGGCAACGCCAGAAATCTTGCGGGACTGGGGCTTTGTCCTCACCCCAGAAGGCTGACGTGTCATTGATCGTCTTCCCTGTGCCTTAGGTTGTCTGGAAACAACATGTCACCCGCGACACCTGCAAGGGATGCCACCGTCCCCGCGTGATCCTCTACTTGACAGCCCATGGCCCCATTTCCCAGTCTGGAGGGCACTCCAGTTTTTGTCAGAATCACTGATGCCTTACTAGGCACACGAGATGCTGTGGTGGGAATTGCACACCCTCAATGTGACCTCTTGCATGGAAGCAGTGCAACCAAATTTCACAAAATGGGTTTTGGAGGCAGGGGCCAGGTATGGTGATAAACCTGAATGGACAATACACAACTTTGGAATAACGGGTAGATGCTATCTGAAAAATGCTGGCAGCGTGGCCCAACCCCGAGTGACATGCGGGTTCCTGCCTCTTGGTTCTTCACCATTGGCACCGTCTGGTGGTCGTGTGTCCTTATGGGCCCCAGGGGTCATCCCGCAGCTGTATGGGGCCTTCTCTGACAATGGTCCTTTGGTCAGTGCCTCAGGCCAGGGCACGCTGGGATTCTCTACCTGTGACCCTGAGTCCCAGTGAGTTTGAAGGCGCCTGAAAACCGTGCTGGCCCCTCACCATTCCCTCACCATAAACTCAAAGACGGGAAGGGATGAGGTGTCCCCATGGGAGCCATGGAACAGCGTTGATGGAGACAGTGTTGGATGCAGGTGGGATGCCCATCAGGGCTCTGATCCCCCAAGGGATGTTGGCATTGCGTCTGCGTGGTAGCGTTCATGGGCCCTTCTGTGGACCCATGACAACCCATTCCTGGCAAAACGCAAGGCTGGTTCCTGCCAGCCCAGTCCAGGGATTCTGTCTGCCACCAACCCGCCAAGGTCTGTCCCAATCACGCTGTGGGAGGACCTGTGCGTGTGGCCTAGTGCCTGCTGTGGCAGCCTCCATGCTCAGACTCCTGTGGGGCTTGAATTCCCTTGTTTCCAGTGGAGCCACAGAGGCTGAGGGCTTTGTGGATATGCTGCAGCCTACCTTCTCACCAGGCCAGGATTACAGGATTATGTCATGAATGCAGTCCCAGACCCATGCATTCTGAGGTCCCTTCCATGGCAAAAGATGAGGTCTGATGGGGAAGACGTTTGTCATTGCTTACCTGCCTCACTCTGCGCAGATCACGCACCCCGATGGAGATCCCACCTGGCACATGGAGGGGAATTTGGCCCATCTTCGGAACAGGCCCAGAGCCAGGGCCCCCATGGCCTCTCTGCACATCACAAACCCTCTCTGATAAGCATGTTGAGCTGATGGGTAGAAGGCAGAGGTGGGTGGGGACTGCCTTGGTTGGGTCAATGATGAGAACTCATATGGTCTCAAAGATAGATGATGACCTAAAAATTATGCTCAATAGGATTACACTGAGGCCCAGTGGAAGGCACGGCACTGAGGCGGGATCCTGGGGACCCCTGTGGCACTTGTGGAGGATGGCACCTGGGGCTCAAGGTGACCGATCCCTTGAGGCTCCCTTGTGGGTTCTCCCCAGTATCTATGCCTCCACGCGCAAAAGTCGTGCTCCCACACTGGGGTGCTGTGTGCCCATTACTAGTACTTCCTGGGACTCATCCCTGAGAACTCAACTAAGCTCCCTTGGTGTCCTGGTGTCTTTTAGTGGACGTCATCTGGGTGACCGTGGTCTTTCTATTGAGCCCACCATGGGACCTGAGTGAATGCCTGTGTGAGAACCCAGACACCCAGTGACCTTTGGCCAATAGGTGAGGCAGCCTTCATGGCAACACCAGCCATCTTGTGGGACTGGGGCTTCGTCTTCACCCCAGAGGGCTGGTGTGTCCCTGAAAGCACAATGTGCTGCGGTGGGCATTGCAGGCGACCAATGTGACCACCTGCTTGAAAGCAGTGCACCCAAATTTCACGAAATGGGCTTTGGAGGCAAGGGCTGGGCCCGGGATTACCTGGAAGGACAGTAGACAGCTTTGGCATAATGGGTAGAAGGTATCTGAAAGATGCTCTTAGCGTGGTCAAGACCCCGAGTGGCATGCGGGTTCCTGCCCCCGGGTTCTTCACCATTGACACCATCTGGTGGCCGTGTGTCCTTATGGGCCCTAGGGGCTGCCCCACCGCTGAATGGGGTTTTGTCTGACAATGGCCCTTTGGTCAGTGCCACAAAGCAGGGCATGGTGGGGTTCTTGATGTGACCCGGAGACCCAGTGATTTTGAAGGTGCTGGGGAATCATGCTGGTGCCTCACCCTTCCCTCAACGTAATTTCAAAGATGGGAAGGGATGAGGTGTCCCCACAGGAGCCATGGAGCAGCGCTGATGGAGACAATGTTGGATGCTGGTGGGATGCCCGTCAGGGCCCTGTTCTCCCAAGGGATCTTGGTGTTGCGTCTGTGTGGTAGGGTTCATGGTTCCTTCCGTGTCTCCATGCCTGCCCATCCTGGCAAAACACAGGGCCGGTCCATGCCAGCCAAAATCCAGGATTCTGCCTGCCACCGACCCACCAAGGTCTGTCCCAATCATGCTGCGGGAGAACATGTGAGTGTGGCCTGGTGACTGCTGTTGCAGCTTCCATGCTCAGACTCCTCTGGGGCCCTGAATTCCCTTGTTTCTAGTTGAGCCACAGAGGCTGAGGGCCTTGTGGACACACTGCAGCCTTCCTTTCCTCCAGGCCAGGATTGCAGGATTGTGTCATGAATGCAGTCCCAGCCCCACGCATTCTGAGATCCCTCCCATTGCCACAAGGTGAGGTCTCATGGGGAAGGTGTTTGTCATTGCTGAGCTGCCTCTCTCCTCGCAGATCCTGCGCCCCGACTGAGATCCCACCTGGTGCATGGAGGGGAGTTTGGCCCATCATTGGGAACAAACCTCAAGCCAGGGCCCCCATGTCCACCCTGCACATCACAAAACCTCTCTGGTAAGCATGTTGAGCTAGGGGGTAGAAGGCAGAGGTGGGAGGGGATTACCTTGGTTGAGTCAATGATGAGAACTCACATGCTCTCGAAGACAGATGATGACCTAAAAATTATGCTCATTAGGATTATGCTGAGTCCCAGTGGAGGGCACCACACTGAGGCAGGATCCTGGGGACCCCTGTGACCCTGGCATAGCGCTGGATCCTGGGGCTCGTGGCGACTGATCCCTCGAGGTTCCCCAGTGGTGCTCTCCCTGGTCTGGGCCTCCGAGCGCCTAAGATGTGCTCCTACCCTGGGGCATTGTGTGCCCATTACTAGTGCTTCCCAAGACTCATCCCTGGGAAAACAAGTAAGCTCCTTCGGTGTCCTGGTTTCTTTCAGTGGGATGTCGTCTTGGTGACCAGGGTCTCGCCATGGAACCCACTGTGGGAGGAGAATGGGTGCCTGTGTGAGTACCCAGGATCCAGTGCCCTTGGGCAGATTGGCGAGGGAACACTCAGGGAAAAGCCAGCCATCTTGTGGGACTGGGGCTTCCTCCTGGCACCAGAGGGCTGGCGTGTCCCTGAACGTCTCCACTGTGCACTAGGCTGTCTGGAAAAATATATCACCCGTGACACCTGTAAGGGATGTCATGGTTCCCTGCGGGATCCTCTTACTTGACGGACCATGGGCCATGTTTCCCAGTGTGGGAGGGTGGTCCGGTTGATGTCAGAATCACTGATGCCTTAGTAGGCATGCGACGTGCTGCGGTGGGCATTGCAGACAGCCACTGTGACCTCCTGCGTGGAAGCGGTGTGCCGAAATTTCATGCAATGGGCTTTAGAGGCAGGAGCCGAACCCGGGGTTACTTGAGTAGCACTAGACAGCTTTGGCATAACGGGTAGATGGAATCTGAAAGATGCTCTCAGCATGGTCAAGACCCCAAGTGGCATGCGGGCTCCTGCCCCTGGGTTCTTTACCATTGGCACCGTCTGGTGGTCGTGTGTCCTTATGGGTTCTGTGGGTCATCCCACAGATCGATGGTGTTTTGTCTGACTATGGCCCTTTGGTCGGTGCTACAAGCCAGGGCACGCTGCGGTTTTTCACTAGTGACCCCACGTCCAAGTGAGTTTGAAGACGCTGGGGAACCATGCTGGCCCCTCACCTTTCCCTCACCATAATCTCAAAGACGTGAAGGGATGAGGTGTTCCCATGGGAGCCATGCAGCAGTGCTGATGGAGACAGTGTTGGATGCTGGTGGGATGCCTATCAGGGCCCTGTTCCCCCAAGGGGTCTTGGTGTTGCGTCTGTGTGGTAGCGTTTGTGGGATCTTCCAGGGCCCCATGTCTGCCCATTCCTGGAAAAATGCAGGGCCAGTCCCTGCCAGCCAAGGCCTGGGATTCTGCCTGCTACTTACCCGCAAATATCTGTGCCAATCATGCTGCGGGAAGACCTGTGATTGTGTCCTGGTGCCTGCTGTGGCAGCCTCCATGCTCAGATTCCTAAGGACTTGTGGATATGCTGCAGCCTTCTTTCCTGCCAGGCCAGGATTGCACGATTGCATCATGAATGCAGTCCCAGCCCTGTGCATTCTGAGATCCCTCCCATTGCCTCAAGGTGAGGTCTGATGGGGAAGGCATTTGTCATTGCTGAGCTGCTTCTCTACGCAGATCCTGCGCCCTGACTGAGATCCCACCTGGTGCACGGAGGGAAGTTTAACCTGTCTTTTGGAAATGGCACCGAGCCATGGGCCTTTATGGCCACCCTGCCCATCACAAACCCTCTCTAGTAAGCATGATGAGCTGTGGTTAGGAGGCAGAGGCATTTGGGGACTGCCTTTGTTGGGTCAATGATGAGAACTCATATGGCCTTGAAGACAGATAATGACCTAAAAATTATGCTCAATAGGATTACACTAAGGCCCGCTGGAGGGCACCCCACTTAGGCGGGATCCTGGGGACCCCTGTGGCCATGACGTAGCACTGGCAATTGGGGCTTGAGACTACCGATCCCTCGAGGCTCCCCAGTGGGGCTTTCCTTGATCTCTGGGCTTCCATACGCCTAAGACGTGCTACCGTCCTGGGGCATTGTGTGCCAATTACCAGTGCTTCACGGGACTCATCCCTGGGAACCCAACTAAGCTCCCTCGGTGTCCTGGTGTCTTTCAGTGGAACATCATCTTGGTGAGCAGGGTCTCGCCATTAAGGCCACCATGGGATTAGAGTGGATGCCTGTGTGAGTACCTGGAGACCCAGTGCCCTTGGGCCAATTGACGAGGCCACCCTGAGGGCTATACCAGCCAACTTGTGGGACTGGGGCTTTGTCCTTGACCCAGAGGGTTGGCGTGTCCCTGAATTTCTGCCCTGTGCACTAAGCTGTCTGGAGAAAACAGGTCACCCGCGATACCTGCAAAGGATGCCACGGTCCCTGTGGGATCCTCTTACTTGAAGGCCCATGGGCCTCATTTCCCAGGGTGCTCAGGTTGATTTCAGAATCACTGATAACTTAGTAGGCACGCGTGGTTCTGCCTTGGGCATTGCAGTCTGCCAAAGCAACCTCCTGCATGGAAGTGGTGCACCCAAATTTCACACAATGGGCTTTGGAGGAAGGGGCCAGGCCCGGGGCTATCAGGCTGGACACTAGACTGCTTTGGCATAATGGGTAGATGGTATCTGAAAAATGTGTGCATCGTGGCCTGGAACCTGAGTGGCATGTGCGCTCCTGGCACCGGGTTCTTCACCATTGACCCCCCCGGTGGCCACGTGTCCATATGGGGCTCGTCAGTCGTCCTGTATCTGGATGGGAATTGCCTGACAGTGGTCCTTTGGTTGGTGCCATGAGCAAGGGCACGCTGGGGTTCTTAACGTGTGACCCCAAGTACCAGTGAGTTTGAGGTCACTGGGGAAACGTGCTGGCCCCTCACCTTTCCCTCACTGTAATCTCAAAGGCGGGAAGGGATGAGGTGTCCCCACTGGAGCCTTGGAGCAGCAATGGTTGGTGATGTTGTTTGATGCTGGTGGGAGGCCCTTCAGGGCCCTGATCCCCCAAGGGATCTTGGCATTGCATCTGCGTGGTAGCATTCGTGGGCCCTTCTGGGCCCCATGCCTGCCCATTGCTGGCAAAATTCAGGGCCAGTCCCTGCCAGCCAAGGCCCGGGATTGTTCCTGATACCAACCCACCAAGCTGTTTCCCAATCACTTTGTGGGAGGACCTGTGCATGGGGCCTGTTGCCTGGTTTTGCAATCTCTATGCTCAGACTCCTGTGAGGCCCTGAATTCCCGGTGTCCCGTGGAACCACAGAGGCTGACAGCCTTGGGGACATGCTACAACCTTCCTTCCCTCCAGGCCAAGATTTTTGCTGGCATCATGAATGCCGTCCCAATCCTGGGCATTCTAGGATCCCTCTCATTGCCACAAAAGAGGTCTGATAGGAAGGCGCTTGTCATTGCTGAGCTGCCTTTCTCTGTGCAGATCCCACCCCACGACCGAGTTCTCACCTGGTGCATGGAGGGGAGTGTGGCCAATCTTCAGAAACAGGCCCCAAGCCAAGGGCCCCTATGGCCACCCTGCGTATCACAAACCCTCTCTGGTAAGCATGTTGAGCTGGCGGGTAGAAGGCAGAGGCTGATAGGGACTGCCTTGGTTGGGGCAATGATGAGGACTCATATGGTCTCGAAGATAGTTGATGACCTAATACTTATGCTCAATAGGATTATGCTGAGGCCCAGTGGAGGGCACCGCACTGAGGCGGGATCCTGTTGACCCCTGAGGCCCTGGTGTAGCACTGGCCCCTGGGGCTCGAGGGGACAGATCCCTTGAGGCTCCCAGTGGGGCTTTCCCCTGTCTCTGGGCCTCCACAGGCCTAAAATGTGCTCCTGCCCTGAGGCGTTTTTCCCATCACTACTACTTCCCGGGACGCATCCGTGGAAAGCAAACTAAGCTCCCTTGGTGTCCTGGTGTCTTTCAGTGGGACATCGCCTTGGTGACCAGGGTCTCGCCATTGAGCTCACAATGGGAGGAGAGTGGATGTCTGTGTGAGTACCCGGAGACCCAGTGCCCTTTGGACAATTTGCGAGGGAGCCTCAGGGCAATGCCAGCCATCTTGTGGGACCAGGACTTCATCCTCGCCCCAGAGGGCTGGCGTGTCCCTGAATGTCTGACCTGTGCATTAGGTTGTCTGCAAAAAACAGGTCACCCACAACACCTGCAAGGGAGGCCACAGTTCCTTGCGGGATCCTCTTACTTGATGGCCCATGGGCCACGTTTCCCAGTGTGGGAGGGTGCTCCAATTGATGTCAGAATCACTGATGCCTTAGTACGCACGTGACGTGCTGTGGTGGGCATTGCAGATGGCCAATGTGACCTGTGTAGATGCAGTGAGCCCAGATTTCTGAGCCCTCCAAAGCAATAGTCTTTGGAGGAAGAGGCCTGGCCCGGGGCCACCTTGCTGGACACTAGACAGCTTTGGCATAATGGGTAGACGGTATCTGAAAAATGTTGGCAGCATGGTCCAGACCCCGAGTGGCATGCAGGCTCCTGCCTCCGGGTTCTTCACCATTGGCACTGTCTGGTGGTCGCATGTTCTTATGGGGCCCATGGGTCATCCTGTAACTGGATGGGGCTTTGCCTGACAATGGGCCTTTTATGTCGGTGCTATGAGCCAGGTCACGCTAGGGTTCTTGACTTGTGCCCCAAGTCCCAGGGAGTTTGATGTCGCTGGGGAACTGTGCTGGCCCCTCACCCTTCCCTCATCGTAATCTCAAAGATTGTAAGGTATGAGGTGCCCCCAAGGAATCCATGGAGCAGCGCTGCTTAGAAGTGGTGGTGGATGCTAGTGGGATGCCTGTCAGGGCTTTGATCTTCCAAGGGATCTTGGCATTGCATCCACGTGGTAGTGTTCGTGGGCCCTTCCAGGACCGCATGCCCACCCCTTCCTGTCAAAATGCAGATCCGGTCCCTTTGGGCCAAGGCCCGGGATTCTGCCTGTCACCGGCACACCAAGGTGTGTCCCATTCACATTGCAGAAGGACCTGTGCATGGGGCCTGGTGCCTGCTTTTGCAGCCTCCATGCTCAGTCCACTGTGGGGCCCTGAATTCCCATGTGTCCAGCGGAGCCACAGAGGCTGAGGACCTTGGGACATGCTGCCGCATTCCTTCCCACCAGGCCAGGATTTTTCCTGGTGTGATGAATGCAGTCCCAGCCCTGCGTGTTCAGAGATCCCTCCCTCTGCCACAAGGTGAGGTCTGATGGGGAAGGCGTTCATCATTGCTGAGCTGCCTCTCTCTGCGCAGGTCCTGCACCCTGACTGAGCTCTCACCTGGCACACGAGGGGAGTTTGGCCCATCTTTGGGAACAGGCCTCAAGCCAGGGGCCCTCATGTCCACCCAGTGCATCACAAACCCTCTCTGGTAGGCATGTTGAGCTGGCGGGTAAAGGTCAGAGGCAGGTGGGGACTGCCTTGGTTGGGTCAATGATGAGAACTCATAAGGTCTCAAAGACAGATGATGACCTAACAATTATGCTCAATAGGATTATGCTGAGGCCCACTGGAGGGCACCCCACTTAGGCGGGATCCTGGGGACCCCTGTGGCCCTGGCGTAGCGCTGGAGCCTGGGGCTCGAGGTGACTGATTCCTTGAGGCTCCCCAGTGGGGCTCTCCCCAGTCTGGGCCTCCATATTACTAAGACGTGCTCCCACCCTGGGGCGTTGTGTGCCCATTATTAGTGCTTCCCGGGACTCATCCCTGGGAACCCAACTAAGCCCCTTCGGTGTCCTGGTGTCTTTCAGTGGGAAGTCATCTTGGTGATTAGGGTCTCGCCATTGAGCCCACCATGGGAGGAGAGTGGATGCTTGTGTGAGTACCCAGAGACCCAGTGCCCTTCTGCCAGTTCATGAGGCTGCCCTCAGGGCAATGCCAGCCATCTTGTGGGACTGGGGCTCTGTCATCCTCCCAGAGAGTGTGTCCCTGAATGTCTGCCCTGTGCAGTAGGCTGTCTGGAAAAAACAGGTCACCCATGACACCTGCAAGGGATGCCACGGTCCCCTGCAGGATCCTCTTACTTGACGGCCTATGGGCCACGTTTTACAGTGTGGGATGGCACTCTGGTGGATGGCAGAATCACTGAGGCATTAGAAGGCACTGCGAGGTGCTGTGGTGTTCATTGCTGATGGCCAGTGTGATCTCCTGCATTGAAGCAGTCCGCCCAAATATCATGCAGTGGGCGTTGGAGGAAGGGGCCCTGGCTGGGGCTACTTGGCTGGACACTAGACAGCTTTGGCATAATGGGTGGATGGTATTAGAAAAATGCCTGCAGCTTGGTCCAAACCCCGAGTGGCATGGAGCTCTTGGCCCCAGGGTCTTCACCTTGGCCCCATCTTCTGAATTTCTATCCTTGTGAGGCCCTTAGGACTTCCCCCACTCTGTTGGGGCTTTGCATGACAGCCGCACTTCAATGGGTGCCTCGAGACATGTCAATGTCAGGTTGTTGTCTTGTGCATTTAATTCCCAATTATGTTGACATTGTTTGGGAACTGTGGTAGCCCCTTTCCCTGCACTAACCCTAAGCTCAAATACCGGAAGAGATTAGGTGTCCCAATGGGATACATGGAGCAGCGCTGTTTGGGGAAGGTGGTGGAGGGTTGTGGAATGCATGCCAGGCCCCTGAGCACCCAAGGAATCTATTTATTGGGTCCCTGGGGTAGTGGCCATGGCCCTTTCCAGGACACTATGCCTGCCCATTCCTGGCAAAGCCCATGGCCAGTCTCTGCAATCCAATGCCCGGTATTATGCCTGCCAACAGCCCACCAAGTGGTGTCCCAATCATGCTTAGGAGTAGACCTGTGTGGCTGGCCTTGTGCCTGATGTTGCAGACTCTATGCTCAGACTCCTGTGTGGCCCTGATTTCCCTAGTGTCCAGTGGAACCACAGAGGCTGAGGGCCTTGGCCCCACTCTGCACCCTTCCTGACTGCCATTCCACGGTTTTGTGTGGCATCATGGATGCAGTCCCAGCCCCACGGATTCTGAGCTTGACTGATTGCCACAAGGTGAGGTCTGATGGGGAAGGGGGTTGTCATTCTTGAGCTGCCACTCTCTGCACAGATCCTGTACCCGGACTGAAATCCCACCTGACACATGGAGGGAAGTTTTTCCAGCATCTGGAATAGGCCTGGAACTAGGGGTCCAAATGACCAATCCACACTTCAAAAACCCTCTCTGGTAAGCATGTGGATTTGAAGGAGTGAAGACAGAGTTATGTGGGAACTGCCTTGGTTGGGCCAATGATTAGAACTCATATGGTCTCAAAGAGAGATGATGATCTAAGAATTACACTCAGTAGGATTATGCTGAGGTCCAATGTAGTGCACCGACCTGAGGCAGTATTCTGGTGACCCTGTGGCCCTGTCGAAGCCCTGGAACTTGGGGCTGGAGGCAACAGATCCCTCGAGGCTCCCCAGGGCAGCTCTCCCTGATCTATGGGCCTCTACTTGCCCAGTCAGCCTCCCACCATGGTGCTTGTGTGCTCATTTCTAGTGCATCCTGGGACACCTCCCTGGAAGCCCAAGTTCCCTCAGTGTCCTAGGGTCTTTCAGTGGGACGTTGTCATGTGGCCAGGGTCTCACCATTGCCCCAACCATGGGAGGAGAGTGGATGCCTGTGTGAGTAGCGAGAGGGCAAGTGCACTTGGGCCAATTGGGGAGCCTGGCCACAGGGCAACGCCAGCCATCTGTGGACTGGGGCTCCAACATCGCCCCAAAAGGCTGGCGTGTCCCTGATTGTCTGCCCTATGCAGTGGGCTGTCAGGAAAGGATAGGTCACTTGTGCTCTACAAGTGATTCCATGGTGCCCAGTGGGATCCTCTTTCTTGCTGGCTCATAGGCTGAATTCTCCAGTGTGGGAGGGCACTCAGGGCGTTTTCAGAAACACTGAGGCCCTTGGAGGAAGTGTGGTGCTGCACTCAGCATTGGAACCCCCCTCAACCTCCCGCAGGTTAGAGTTTCCATTCAAATTTCCCACAATGGGCATTGGAGGAAGAGGGCAGACCCGGGACTACTTAGTTGGATACTAGACAGCTTTGTAATAGCAGATAGATGGTCCCTGAGGCATGCCCGCAGCTTGGCTGTGACCCCTAGTGTCCTGCTTGGCTGCTGACTCACAAGTCCTCTTGATGGGCCCACTCTTAGTGGACACGTGGCCTCATGGGGCCATGTAGTGTTCCCCAGACTGATTGGGGATTTGCCTGCCAATGGCCTTTTGGCTGGTGTCCCAGGACAGGACAGGGTTCTTGTCTTGTGCACCCTCCTGTGCTAAACCTAAGCACAAAGACAGAAAGGGACAAGTTGTCTCCATGGGAAACATGGGACAACGCTGTTTGGGGATGGATGTGGATGCTGGTGGGATGCATGCCTAGCCCCTGAGCACCCCAGGAATCTTTGCAGAGGTCCACCAGTGCAGCATCCATGTCCTGTTCCAGGCCACCATGCCTGCCTATTCCTGGCAAAGCCCAAGGCCATGCCTTGCCAGCCATGGCTGGGATTCTGAATGCCACCAGATCAACAAGTGGTGTTCCAATCACACGGTGGGGGGACCTGTACTGCTGGCCTGCTGCCTGCTGTTGCAGCCTCTATGCTCAGCTCCTTATAGGGGCCCTGCTTTCCCTGGTGTACATTGTACCTGGCACTGGGCTGGACACATCCTTCCAGCCATCCCTGGATTTTTGCTGGCATCCTGAATGCGGGAATGGCCCCACACATTCAGGGCTCAGTCCCATGGCCACAAGGTGAGGTCCGATGAGGAAGAGTGTTGTCATGCCTGAGCTGCCTCTCTCTGCACAGAGGCCATGCCCAGACTGAGATCCCACCTGTTGCATAGTGTACAGTTTGGCCCCACTTCAGAAATAGGCCCCAAGCCAGGAGTCTAAATGGCCATCCTGCGCTTCACCCAACATCTCTGGTAAGCATGTTGAGCCTGTGGGGCGAAGGCACAGGTGTGTGGGGACTGCCTGGGTTGGGTCAATGATGAGAACTCATATGGACTCGAAGAGAGATGATGACCTAAAAATTATGCTAAATAGGATTACACTGAGGCCAAATGGAGAGCAACGTCCTGAGGTGGGACCTGTGGACCCTTGTGGCCCTGGCATAGTGCTGGCACCTGGGGCTCGAGGCTTCTGATCCCTTGTGGCTTCCCAGTGTGGCTCTCACTGGTCTATCAACCTCCATGTGCCTAAAACTGCTCCCACTCTTGCACTTTGTGTGGCCATCCTTAGTGCATCCCAAGAGCCCACACTCAGAGGCCTGGCTAAGCTCCCTCAGTGTCCTTGTGTATTTCAGTGGGACATCATCTCTGTGATCAGGGTTTCCCCATTGACCCCACCATGTGAGGTGAGTGGATGCCTATGCAAGCAGACAGGGGCCCCAGGGCACATGGGCCCTATGGGGAGGCTGGCCTCAGGGCAATGCAAACCAGCCTGTGGGACTGGGGCCCCATCACTCCCTCAGAGGGCTGGCATGCCCTGAAAGTCTGCCCTGTGCAGTGGGCTGTTGGGAAATAATAGGTCTCCTGTGACTCCTGCAAGTGTTTCCACGGCCCCAGAGGTATCCTCTTTCTTGTCTGGCCATGGTCCGCTTTCTGCAGTGTGGGAGGGAGCTCAGGTTGATATCAGAATCGCCGAGGCCCTTGGAGGCATGCAAGGTGCTGTAGTGGGCATTGGGCCCCCCCGTGACCTCCCACGGGAAAGAGTTCCCACCCAAATTTCCCGAAATGGGCATTGGAGGAAGAAGCCGGGCCAGGGGCTACATGGCTGGATCCTGGACAGCTTTGGCATAGTGGGTAGTGACAGTCCCTGAGGACTGCTGGGAGCTTGGCCGGGACCCCAGTTGGCAACGTGGGACTCCTGGCTCCCAGATCTTCATTATGGGCCCATTCCTGGTGGACACATGTCCTTATGGGGCTCCTGGGTCTTCCTCAACTGGATGGAGCTTTGCCTGACAATTGCCATTCGGTGGTGCCCTGAGGCAGGGCACACCGACATTCTTGTCTTGTGCATGCTCTTCCCAATGAGGTTTAAGTCACTTGGGAATCATGCTAACCACTCTCCCTGCACTAATCCTAAGTGCATAGATCAGAAAGAACGAGTTGTCCCATGGAAGACATGAAGCAGTGATGTTTTGGGATGGAGGTGGACACTGGTGGGAGGTACGCCAGGGCCCTGATAACCCCAGGAATCTTTGTGTGCATCCTCTGAGTGCAGCATCCATGGCCCATTCTAGGCCACCATGCCTGCCCATTTCAGGCAAAGCCCAGGGCCAGGCCCTGTCAGACATGGCCTGGGAATCTGCATGCCACTGGCTCACCAAGGGGTGTCCCAATCACACGGTGGGTGGACCCGTGTGGCTGGCCTGCTGACTTCCAGTGCAGCCTCCATGCTCAGCTCCCTGTGGGGGCCCTGCCTTCCCTGGTGTCCAGTGGAACCACACAGGCTGAGGGCCTTAGTGCCACACTGGAGCCTTCCTTCCTGCCATCGCTGGATTTTTGTTGGTGTCAATTATGGTGTCATGTCCTCATGCATTTGGGGCTTGTGCCCATGTCCACAAGGTGAAGTCCATTGGGAAAGTCATTCTCATGGTTGAGCTGCCTCTCTCTGCACAGAGCCCTTTCCCAGACCAAGATCCTGCTGGGCACATGGAGGGCTAATTCGACCCAGCTTGGGGAATATGCCCTAAGCCATATGCCCAACTAGTCACCCTGCTCTTTGAAACCATCTCTGGTATGCATGTTGAGCTGGCAGGAGAAGGATGCAGGTGGGAGGGGACTGCTTGGTTTTGTCAATGATGAGAACTCATATGGTCTCGAAGAGAGATGATGACCTAAATATCATGCACAATGGGATTATGCTGAGGCTCACTGGAGGCCACCATCCTGAGGATTCTGCCTCAGGATACCACCCCTGTAGCCCTGGAAAAGTGCTGTCACATGAGGCTCCAGTCGACTGATCCCTTGAGGCTCCCCAGTGTGGCTTTCCCTGGTCTATGGGCCTTCATGTGACTAAGACGGGCTCCCACTCTGGGGCTTTGTGTGCCCATCCATATTGTGTCCCGGAATGCCTCACTTGGATCCTTGGATAAGCTCCCTAGGTGTCCTTGTGTCTTTCAGTGGGATGATTTCTTTGTGGCCAGGGTCTTGCCATTGCCCCCATCATGTGAAGTGTGTGGATTACAGTATGAGTACATGGAATTCCCAAGGGATGTGGCAATTCCCTGATGGGGAGGCTTGCCTCAGGGCAACACCAGCCAGTGTGTGGTACCTGGGCCCCATCATTGACACAGAGGCCTGGCATGTCCCTGAATATCACGCCTGTGCCATGTGCTTTCCTGACACCATATGTAATCTGTGTCTCCTGCAATGATTCCAAGTTCCCTGGAAAGCTCCTCTTTCTCAAGGGCCTATGGTCTCCCTTCACTGGTTTAGCATGTTTTTCATCTTGATGTCAGAATTGCTAAGGTTTTGGGAGGGACGCGAGGTCCTGCTGTGGGCTTTGGAGCCTATGGCAAACTCCTGAAGGAAAGGGCTCCCGCCCACATTTTCTAGAATGGGCACAGGGGGAGGGTGGCAGGAACAGGACTTTCAGCTGGATGACTTTAGAGCACTCTGGGATAGTGGGGAGACCTTCCCTGAAGAGTGCTTGCTGCTCTCAGGGACCCCGAATGTAGGTATTCCCTCTTGGCTCCCAGGTCTTCCCAATCAGCCCTCTTATGTTGGATGCATTGTCTTATGGGTCCAGGCATCTTCCCATACCTGGAATGGGCTTGCCTGCCATCGCCCCTTGGGATGGTGCTTCAACCCAGGGCATGCTTGTTTTTCTGTTACCAATGATGTTGACATGGTTTTATAACTGTGCTGGACTCTCCCTTTTCTAGCCCAATGTGCAAAAATAGGAAAGGATGAGGTGTTCCTACAGAGGACTCATAGCAGCACTCTTTGGGAATGGATGTGGATGCTGGTGGGATGCACACCAGTCCCATGAGCACCCCAGGAATCTTTCCGTAGGTCTCTGAGCAGCTGCATTCAGAGCAGGGATTTACCTGCCAAGTGGCCGTTGTGTAGCTCCTCAGGTCTCCATATACACTTTGTGCCAAGGAGGTATTCGTTTCCACTGATCAATGAGCTTGGACACCCATGTCTTCAACAGCCCTGGGCCCATCCCTGGCTTCCATCTCTGCCCACTCTTCCTGAAGCCAAGGGCAGGGCCCTACCAGCGATGGTCCATGATTCTGCCTGCCACATTTTCTCCAAGTGTTGTCTCACTCACTTGGTGACCTGTGTTGCAGGCCTGCCTCTTGGTGGCTCTTTTCCCATTCTCATCTCCCTGTGGGAGCCTAGGTTTCCTTTGTGTCAGGTGGACACATATGCACTGAGGACCTTGCATGCTGCTCTGGAGCCTTCCTGCCATCCCTCAAGTCTTGCTTATGTCATAGGTGGAGTCATGGTGCTACAACTTCAGGGCTCATGCCCATTGCCCAGAAGGTCAGGAGCAATGGGGAAGGCCATTGTCAAATCTGTGTTACACTCTGTCCACAGATCCCCTGCCCAAATGACGATCCCACCTGGCCCACATAATCAATTGGCCCAGCTTCTGGAATATGCCCACACTAAGGTGCCACCCCAGCCATCTCGCATTCAAGACACCCTCTTTGGTAAGCATGTTGTGCATGGGGTTGGGAAGCACAGGTGCGTGGGGACTGCCTTGGTTAGGTCAATGATGAGAACTCATATGGTCTCAAAGAGAGATGATGACATAAAAATCTTGCTCAATAGGATTATGCTGAGGACCAATGGAGGGGACCATTCTGGGTTAGAGTCTTGGGGACCTATTTAGCCATCTGGTTTCGGCCCTTGGGCTTGAATTTAATAAAACCTCGATGGTTCCACATGTGTCTCTCCTCTGTTTGTGGGTCTCCACGTGCCCTGGAAGGCTCTTGTCCTTGGGCTTTTTGTTTCCTTCCCAAATTCCCCTCCTGACGCCTCATGTGAATCTGTTGTTTAGCTCCTTGGTGTCCTTGTGTCTTTCAGTGGGACGTCATCTTGGCCAGGGTTTCACCATTTCCCCCACCATGCTAGGTGAAAGATGCCACTGCTTGTAGTGGAGGCCCTAGAGGACATGGTGTGGATTTTGAGGCCTGTCTCATGGCAATGCCGGCCTGTGTGTTGAACTGGGGCCTGTTATGGCCACAGACGTCCGTCCTTTCTGTGAACATCAGCCCTGTGCAATTGGCTGTCAGTAAAGCAACAGATCATCTTGGCATCTGGAAAGTATGCAAATGACAATGGATGGCCCTCTTCCTCGCTGGTCCATGGAACAGTTTTACTGGTGTGAGAGAATGCCCAACTGGAGGCTCAAACCACTGCAGTATTTGGAGGTATGCTAAGTGCTTGGGTCTTCGATTTGGCTTATTTTTGTGGTTTTTACTTGGATATCTCTAAACTGGGGTGGATGAGGAAGCTAGCTTTAGGGCAGCACATATCTTTAATGACATTGTTTAAAGGAGAATGTGGAAGCATGGTTCGAGTGTGGGACTTCTTACCTGGATGATTTTAGACAACATTCTGAAAATATAAGTGTAGTTCTTTAGGAGTGCTTACCGTTTCCTCTGGAACACAGATGCTGTGTTTTGGGAGCACACAATGCTTTTCTTCATTTGAAACACTTTTAGATATATCAAATAATTCTATTTACCAAAAAAAAATCTTTCAGAGTAAAACTTTCAGAGTAAATCTTTCAGATTTATCTCCACACTAGAGGTTGTGAAGAAGCCAGTTTGATAAAGGTAGAATATATGGAGTCATCATTGATGGAAAAACATTGACAATTGCTGTCAAGGGGAAGGAGCCCTGGTTATGGAGAAATTCAAGAGAGAATGGTGCACATATGGGAACACATATACAAACACATCACTGAAGCCGTTGGTTGAGAAAACGAGAGCAGCTGATTTTGTGCAGTTTTGTAACAAGTGGGGCTTGAAGACTGGAGTTTTAACCTTTGCAAGCTTGCGTTGTGACTCTGCCCTATTTCTAGACAGAAGGCTTTCAAATAATCCCAGGGTATTCATCAGGATCTCAGGATCTCCTGGGGCACACAATAAGATTATTTGCTTTCTTGGGGCATGCCATGAGAGGCCAGGTTTATAGAGAGGGCTCTCCAGGGACAAAGGATCCAGGGGACACATTTTTGTTTCCCACCCTTAGGCGTAAGTGCAGAGCTACCTGCCAAGGGCAGCTTGGCTCCAACATTGGCTGCCTAGTGTGCTTACTCCAAGTCCTACACCCCTGTGCCCTTATGAGACTATACTTCTTGGTATATTTCCTGTTTCAGTGCAGTGATTCCCTCCCCCCAGAAGACCATCACAGGTCCCTGCCCACACCTTGTGTCTAAATCCTGGAGTTTTAAAAGTCAGCAGGCATGGCTGGGATTGAATATGGAGAGCACTGTGCTGCTTCTGGAGAGAAGGCAGACAAACAACCCACAGTCAGATAACGTGAAAACTGACTGAAAAAATACCTGATACACACAAGTTGGAGATTATTTACTTTTCTTAGAATGCCTCCCTGAAAACTGCAAGAATGGAGACCCTTTTCCAGGTACATGGGAGCTGGCTGGTGCCATTTCCCTTCCCTGCCCCTTAGCATAAACATAGTACCACCTTCTGTAAATAACACGGCACCAACACTAACTGCCTAACCTGCTTACACCAGGTCACCCACCCATGTGGTATTCCAGTACTGCACTTATAGGTAAAATTTGCCTCAGTCCCAGCATGGTGGGTCTCTTATTCAGAAGACCAGCATAAACCTCTGTCCACATTATGTTTACTGACTAGAGAGTTCTGTGTGTTCTCTTCTAGTGGAGGTAGTATCAGGTCTTATTTAACATGCAAAACAGAGCACAGCTAGGGAAAACTCACCACACTCTGTTCATGGTCCAAACACTGCCCACTCCAGCCAAGGAGAGCCTCTGCAGCTGACTGGTCTGAAGGATAGAGAAGTCAAATGACAGCAGCAGAGTGCATACAGCATACATCAGAGACTCTCCTTGAAGTGCCAGGCCCTGGACAGTATTTGACCTCTTATTCATAAAGCCATTACATTAATGAGCAGGACTTAATAAGGTTTCCTAACACAGAGAAGAAGACAGAGACTTAGGCAAAATTCCAAGACAGAGGAATTCATCCCATAAGATAAAACAAGAGAAGATGACAGCCAGAGATGTAATCAAAACAGATATAAGAAATATGTCTGATGGTGAATTTAAAGCAACAACCATGGGGATACTCACTGGTCTTGAGAAAAGCATATGAGACATCAGGGAGACCCTTACTACAGATATAAAGAATTAAAAACCAAAAATGAAAAATATGATAACTGACATTCAAAAGTGACTAAATATAATGACCACAAGGATGGAAGAAGCAGAGGAGTGGATAAGTGATAAGGAAGACAATATAATGAAAAATAATAAAGCTGAAAAAAAAAAGAGAGAGAAAGAATGATTATGGAACACAAGAGTAGACTTAGTCAACTCAGTGACTCCATCAAACACAATAACATTTGTGTTATAGGAGTCTCAGAAGAAAAAGAAAGATAAAGAGGGCATAAAATTTATTTGAGAAAATAATAGCTGGAAACGTTCCTAATCTGAGGAACAAAAGAAAATCCAAATCCACGAGGCTCAGAGAACTCTCATTAAAATCAACAAAAGCAGGCCAACCTTAAGAAATATAATTGGGAGAGAGAGGGATGATGGTGGTGTAGGAGGACGCTGGGCTCACCGCGCGTCCTGCTGATCACTTAGATTCCACCTACACCTGCCTAAATAACCCAGAAAACCACCAGAGGATTAGCAGAACAGAGTCGCCAGAGCCAAGCGCAGACGAGAGGCCCACGGAAGAGGGTAGGAAGGGCGGCGAGGCGGTGCACGCTCCACGGACTGGCGGGAGGGAGCCGGGGCGGAGGGGCGGCTCGCCGGCCAAGCAGAGCCCCCGAGTCTGGCTTGCAAAAAGCGGAGGGGCCTTAGCGGCTGGGAGGTCATAAGTTAACAGCTCTGCTCAGAAAGCGGGAAGGCTGGAGGACAAAGGGAAGGAGAGCTGCTGAGCCCCCGGACGACAGAGCTCAGTTTGGTGGGGAACAAAGGCACTCGCCAGCGCCATCTCCCCCACCCATCCCCCAGCCAAAATCCCAAAGAGAACCAGTTCCTGCAGGGAACTTGCTCGCTCCGCGCAAACACCGAACTCTGCGCTTCTGCGGAGCCAAACCTCCGGCAGCGGATCTGACTCCCTCCTGCTGCCACAGGGCCCCTCCTGAAGTGGATCACCTAAGGAGAAGCAAGCTAAGCCTGCCCCTCCTGCCCCTGTGCACCTTGCCTACCCACCCCAGCTAAGACGCCAGATCCCCAGCATCACAAGCCTGGCAGTGTGCAAGTAGCCCAGACAGGCCACCCCACCCCACAGTGAATCCCGCCCCTAGGAGAGGGGAAGAGAAGGCACGCACCAGTCTGACTGTGGCCCCAGTGGTGGGCTGGGGGCAGACATCAGGTCTGACTGCGGCTCCGCCCACCAACTCCAGTTATACACCACAGCACAGGGGAAGTGCCCTGCAGGTCCTCACCACGCCAGGGACTATCCAAAATGACCAAGCAGAAGAATTCCCCTCAGAAGAATCTCCAGGAAATAACAACAGCTAATGAGCTGATCAAAAAGGATTTAAATAATATAACAGAAAGTGAATTTAGAATAATAGTCATAAAATTAATCACTGGGCTTGAAAACAGTATAGCTGACAGCAGAGAATCTCTTGCTACAGAGATCAAGGGACTAAGGAACAGTCACGAGGAGCTGAAAAACGCTTTAAACGAAATGCATAACAAAATGGAAAGCACCACGGCTCGGATTGAAGAGGCAGAGGAGAGAATAGGTGAACTAGAAGATAAAGTTATGGAAAAAGAGGAAGCTGAGAAAAAGAGAGATAAAAAAATCCAGGAGTATGAGGGGAAAATTAGAGAACTAAGTGATACACTAAAAAGAAATAATATACGCATAATTGGTATCCCAGAGGAGGAAGAGAGAGGGAAAGGTGCTGAAGGGGTACTTGAAGAAATAATAGCTGAGAACTTCCTTGAACTGGGGAAGGAAAAAGGCATTGAAATCCAAGAGGCACAGAGAACTCCCTTCAGACGTCACTTGAATCGATCTTCTGCACGACATATCATAGTGAAACTGGCAAAATACAAGGATAAAGAGAAAATTCTGAAAGCAGCAAGGGGTAAACGTGCCCTCACATATAAAGGGAGACCTATAAGACTCGTGACTGATCTCTCTTTTGAAACGTGGCAGGCCAGAAAGAGTTGGCACGAGATCTTCAGTGTGCTAGACAGAAAAAATATGCAGCTGAGAATCCTTTATCCAGCAAGTCTGTCATTTAGAATAGAAGGAGAGATAAAGGTCTTCCCAAACAAACAAAAACTGAAGGAATTTGTCACCACTAAACCAGCCCTACAAGAGATCCTAAGGGGGACCCTGTGAGACAAAGTACCAGAGACATCACTACAAGCATAACACATACAGATATCACAATGATTCTAAACCCATATCTTTCTATAATAACACTGAATGTAAATGGATTAAATGCGCCAACCAAAAGACATAGGGTATCAGAATGGATAAAAAAACAAGACCCATCTATTTGCTGTCTACAAGAGACTCATTTTAGACCTGAGGACACCTTTAGATTGAGAGTGAGGGGATGGAGAACTATTTATCATGCTACTGGAAGCCAAAAGAAAGCTGGAGTAGCCATACTTATATCAGACAAACTAGACTTTAAATTAAAGGCTGTAACAAGAGATGAAGAAGGACATTATATAATAGTGACAGGGTCTATCCATCAGAAAGAGCTAACAATTATAAATGTCTATGCGCCGAATACTGGAGCGCCCAAATATATAAAACAATTACTCATAAACATAAGCAACCTTATTGATAAGAATGTGGTCACTGCAGGGGACTTTAACACCCCACTTACAGAAATGGATAGATCATCTAGACACACGGTCAATAAAGAAACAAGGGCCCTGAATGAGACATTGGATCAGATGGACTTGACAGATCTATTTAGAACTCTGCATCCCAAAGCAACAGAATAGACTTTCTTCTCGAGTGCACATGGAACATTCTCCAAGATAGATCATATACTGGGTCACAAAACAGCCCTTCATAAGTTTACAAGAATTGAAATCATACCATGCATACTTTCAGACCACAATGCTATGAAGCTTGAAATCAACCACAGAAAAAAGTCTGGAAAACCTCCAAAAGCATGGAGGTTAAAGAACACCCTACTAACGAATGAGTGGGTCAACCAGGCAATT